AAATCCGCCGGCGAACACCCAACAACCGGAAATCCGCCCCTTTCATATGTAAATATTGTGTTGAAAAAGAATTTAGATAGGACGTAAAACGCAAAAGCCTAAAATCTATTACCAACGGCAAGTCGCCGTAATTGTGCGGGTGTTTTGTATTCCCTTCTGTAATTGATCTTTGTTCAGCTTTTACAGATTCATATATTTATGTTTCTCCGTCTCTAGATTTGCAATGTAATATTTATGAGGATTTGCAATAGAATTCCCTGTATTTTTGTATGTGTGCCTCCCTTCCCCTTTTCCCTTGAATCGTTTGTTCACGAGTTGCGGATCGGAAGATAATCTCTATAGAGTTGTGCTACTTCTAGAAAAGGGATGAAGAAGAAAATAAGAATTTAAGAGAGTTTGTACCATCACAATAGAATTTTTTTAATTTGATGTGCAAGAGTCCGAAGCTCAAACTTTAGCTCCATGTAACCTTTGGTTCTACACTATTTCCCAACTACCCTTTCGCACTTATATTTGAAGAAAATTCTTGTTCTAGCAATTTAATTGGAAGGTGATTTTCACTTTGCTTCCAGCAAAGTATTCCAGAAATTGTGTGCTTATTTTATGTTTTTTCCATTTGTTGTAATTTGGAAGAAACTTTTTAATTGTTCTTGTTTTTCATTAATGGTGAAACTTGAACAAGAAAGAAGTATGAAGATGAAGGTAAGTGGGTCATTAAAATAAGGTTAATTTAAAAAGAAAAAAGAGAAAAACATAATTTTGATGGTTTCACGCGCCCAGACATGAGTAAAAAGCACACACTTTGCCATGCAATCGTAAGGGGTTCATGAGACACAGTTTAGCCGAGAAGTAGGTGTCTCTCTGGTCATTAGTATAATTGAGATGTCCATCTGACCGTTGAGGACAACTTGAAGGGGCTGTTTATGTATTTCGCCTATATATTTCCTCTGTTCCATTTCATCAGGGCCGGCTTTTGGGTAAAGCCACTAAAGTCCAAGATTTAGGCCCCCAACTTTAGGGGGCCCCACTTTTTACCCTATTTTTTTTAAATTAAGTATTTTTACTCTTATTACATATCTTGGTAATAACTAAAAAGGTATGTTCTTTAATATCGGGCCCCTAACATGTAAATGAAAAATTTACGAAAGGAATCAAGTGATTATGTCTATTCTTCGTTAAATATTATGTAAATCTTTTCACTTTCTTTCTTGGTTTTCACAATATTCAATTTTTTTTATGTTTCTCAGTTCTCACCAAATGTTATTATTATTATATTTTTCCTTTGTGCCTCCAAGAGATCCTATTGTTCTGCATTTTTCGTCTATCAAGCTAAAGTCTACGAGAAGTATATTGTGAAAGCAACAAATATTTATTTTCACATTAAATTAATGAATCAGGTTCTTCAATTCCAACCTTTTAGTATTAGTTTTCATCTAACATTTGTTTTTCTTCATATTTCAATACGTATGCATATATTATCCTTTTAGTATTTATCAAAATTTAAATATGTTAAACAGAAAGTATGAATCCGGTTATTCAAAACTTAAGGAGAAAAAAAAGTTAAATAATTGATACAATCCCAAAAAAGAAGAGATGATAGTACTTTAGTCGATATACTCGATCATAAAAAAAAAAAGACTTGATTCTTTTTCAAATACTTATATTGCTTATAGAATAATAATATCAGTTCCTGTAACAATTGCCTCTGGCCGCCCTCGATCACAAACTAGAAACTTGAAAGAAGCTTTTTAAAACTAAAATTGATAAAATCTTACTTAAAGTCAACCACGGCGTAAGAAAGATTGAATGGATTAGCTATATTACTGATTGAAAAAGAATTATTGGAAAAAATTTATAATAAAATAATTATTCATAATTTTGCATCTCAAAAAGCTAGAAAACTAGATTTTAAATAAATTATATATATAAGAAAGTTCTTTTTTTTTGGAAAAAAAGGTTAAAGGCCTCTTATGTTATTTTGGCTGTAGGCCCCTAATAGTGTTGAGCCGCCCCTGCATTTCATACTTCAAACTTTCCTTCAGTATGTTCCAAAAATAGCAAT